ACCCTCCGTCTCATCCCACACATAACAATAACCTTCATGACTCTGCAGGTTATAGAAACTGAGGTTATGGACCTGCAGCTTGGTTTTATAGTAAAGGGCGCTGGCATTCGCCTTGGGACATATCAGAACAGCTTGGGTGTCCAACGTCCACACTGATTTCTTTGTACTGGCATTTTCTTTGTCCTTCGTCTTCTCAGCTCTGGCTGCATCTTTATTCTTGATGTGCGCCAAATAATCTGCTTCACTCCGATTTCCGTACTTTGCACCAACACAAGTGTCACATTGGTCCTACCTTGGTCTAAACACTGAGTAATTTAAGTTGTGAAATGTTTCGTTGAATGTTTTAACATTGATTACTCGTTTCCCAGCAGCGGCTGCAGCCTTCTTGTACTCAGTGTGAAGACCACTAATAGTGACGTCTGGTTCGAGGAATTTCTTGTTTTGATACGAGGGAGTGTTACGACAATAATGAGAGGGAACAGTTGGCAGTTTCCCTAACCACTCATTCAAAAAGGTTTGGTCGGACTCGGCAATGGGGACTGTTTTACCTTCATTAAAGAACAACAGAACTGGTTGAGTAACTTTCACATTAACCCATTGAGCCTCAATGCGCCCTACTTATTTTTTTACTTGTCCAACGCCAGACGATTTTACTCGTCAAAGTGGAAGCTCTGCAGCTTAATGGGTTAAGCGTAATCTACATGCACATACTGTACATATATACTCACCACTTTTGGGGCTCTTTTTTTTCAATGGTTGAGTAGGTTCCTTCAACCAGGAAGCAATTGTGCGTGCTGGCATCCCAAATGTTGACGCAAAGAACCTTTTACAGACCAACTTTGCACTTCCATCTGAAAGCTTCAATGTGTACTGAAAGGAAGAACTTCTACGAGATGGGCCTGCATGTTCAGCCTTTCTTTGCTTTAAGTATAATTACATAGGTGATTATTGAAAATTCTGCATGCTGATTGGTTGCTGCTCAGGTGATTATAACGCGATAATCACCTAAGCAATTTTTAAAATGGCGGCCGAAGCCGTTTTGTGAATTAAATGACAAAGAAATGTGTATTAATTTGGTTTTTTTTTTTTCAAATAATCACCTATAATTATAACTAAAACAATTATTCGCCAAAGGCGAAGTGTAGCGGTGCACCAAAACTAATCTTTCAGTTACGGCAGGAACAGGAACTAACCGGCCGGAACCAGTTTCCGGTGCACCCATAGCAAGGTGATTATCATGAATAAAAACCTTAACTTTGTCTCGGTTTTTATTCACCGATAATCACCTCACTTTCAGTGAATAATTAAAGAAATTAATAATTCATCCGGTTAATTATTTTTTAATAGCATTGAAATAACAAATTAATAGTGAAGATAACTTTGTTCAACCATTCCGAAATTGATTACCTTTTCAACAAGCGTCTGTATGTACAACCGTCGTTTTGCCCATGTGTTCATCGACCAAAATTTGTTGAAAATCCAAAGTCTTTGCTCCTCAGTGAAAGACTGACAGTGGCGCAAGGATGACTTTTGACAGCATCCTGATGAACATGGTGGACCAATCACCCTTTCTTTCTGCTCTTTACCTTGAAGGTTAGTGTAGGATTTACCCTTTAGACGTTGAGCTTTTGGAAGATTTTGCTGCCATGTGTCAGGCTTTGACACTTTCTGCCTTTTTGAAGGCTTTTTATTTACAGCCTAAAAATAATATGACAGTCAGGTAAGTTTCAGTTCCTCATGTTGTTAAATGCTGCATAATACCGCCACATGTCTAGAATTTAAATATGCTTACAGCAGGATCATCTACACTATCATCTTGATTATCTCCACTGATAAGATTGTGTGGTTGATCTGTTAGCTCAGTAAGTTCCGTTACGGATGGAAGATCATCACTCAAATCATCAGGTTCAGGCAACTGGTCTGGCTCACATATATAATCTGGGTCATTAGCCGCACTATCATCTTCACTAATTTCAGGACTATCTGAACTTTGCTGAGTTTGCTCATCTACAATATTTCCACTGTCTACTTCTTCCCTGTCTTTAGGGCAAAAAAAGGAAAGAGCGACAAGATGAATAATTACTTCTCCATTCAAAAGGAAAGGGTTATGCAAACGAACATGAGTGATAATTGTCTCAACTAAGTATTATAATCAGGGATGGATCCGCCATGATTTGGTAGGGGGGGGGGGTGCTCTGCCAGCCCTGGTATCGAGTGGTGTTGGTCATGTGCACCGTCCGCCTATCAACATACAACAACGGTATAATCAGTATTCCGGGCTTCTGGCAATCTAGTTAAAAATAGCCTCCATGTTACTATTAATTATCATATTACTACTCAAATTAGTGTATTTCATTTTGTCTTTAATATTTGTTCTGCTTTATTATGAAAAATAGCACCCCCCAGTAAATCCATCCCTGATTATACAACTACAATATTAACCATACTGTAATACACAACTACAATATTAACCATAACCATAGACTATACCTGTACACATATAAAATAATATTATAATATATAAACTAAGGCTTATTAATGATGTAAATAGCTGAAATACATACGCTATTGCATAGTAAAGGAGCTTGGCTGATGTTTTTAAGTCACTTACCAACTTGATCTCTTGTTATTTCCGACAAAACGTCCAAAAAATCGAGGGTTTCGGTTTCTCTCCATGTCGTCGCCATTTTGAAAAAAACTGCCTATGTCACACAATTGAGATAGGCAAAAACATTGCAAGCCATGTAAGCAGAGCTCTGATTGGCTAATCATGCATTATATATGCACCCGGTTAGATCGCTCAAAAGGCATTGTAGTTAGCAGTGCTCTCACTTTTAAGGAATTATCCTTAAAAATAGGAATTTTGAAGAGTTTTAAGGATTTTTTTAAGGAATTTAGGTTTTTGAGGATTTTTTTAAGGAATTTCCGAAACATTTTATCCTGGACTAAAAACGTTGGACGGAGGATAACCACGCCACGCAAATGAGATTTAAACTTGAAAGTAGCAACATTATACGCACATAATTACATTTAGTATAATTACATAGGTGATTATTGAAAATTCTCCACGCTGATTGGTTGCCGTTGAGGTGATTATTACGCGATAATCACCTGAGCGATTTTCAAAATGGCGGCCGAAGCCTTTTTGTCAATTTAATAAATGACAAAGAAATGTGTATTTTCTTATTTTTTTCCAAATAATCACCTATGAAATTATACTAAAACAATTATTCACCTCAGGCTCGGTGATTATCGTGAAAAACCTCGACTTCGTCTCGGTTTTTATTCACCGATAATCACCTCGCCATAATTGTTAAATATTCGTATGTTCTCTATGTCATAAATGTTCGGGCCATATTCCAGTACCAATTTGGTTCCAGTACCAATTTGGTTCCAGTACCAAATAACACAAATCACACTCATATAACGTAATTGTCATCATAATATAATAGTATATGTTTCTGTACATGGCTTGGCATGTGATTTATAACTAAAACTTAAAACAGTGTTTTGAAACCCTAGTTTTTTACAAAATGTGTTCTCAGAACGCTGCAAATGCCATTTCCGGGATTCAAATTTTAAAATTTTTCCGTCCCTCCCCCAATATTTTGTAAAGTGCGGACCACTGGTCTTTTCATTAAAATTCTCAAAAATTAAATGTCAGTATATGCTGTTTCTTCTGAAATCTACAGATATTTTAAGCTCTTCATGCAACAACGATCAAAAATACATCATGTTGAATGTTTTCTTTATGGCATTACGCTAACAATCAAATGTTTTCAATTTTTAGTGCTTAGAAACAAGGTTATAAAAACTGAAAAACAGAAAAAAGGAGGGAAAAAACACTTTTTGCAACTGTGTGATCAGGCCTTCTGGTAATTTTACCAATTTAAGGAATTTTAAGGAAATCTGAGGAATTTTCGAGCTTTTTCTAAGGAATTCGAAAATTTGATTGTGAGAGCACTGGTAGTTAGGCAATAATCCAAAAATGGCCCAAAAGTGACATAGGCAGTTATGGTAGTAAGCTGTCGATATATAAATGTGCAATTGACGCAGTACATAGAATTAAATGCCCAACAAATTTTAAATTTTCCTTAACACTTTAAATAATGACTGAAAAATAATAAACAAAACAGGGTATAAAAATAACAACGGTTGGCACATTAGAGTTTATAGGGTAACTGGTAGTTTCGTCTCCTTGCCGTTTCGTCCCCACTCTAGATACCGTTTTATCTACAACCTACTTTTTGAGATTGTATCTAAGTGGATTGTATGCCTGGATAATACACATTTTTGTATTTAAATTCCGAAACTTTGAAATGTAACTTAAATATTTGGCTTTTATTTCACAATATTAATATTGTTGTTGTCAGTGACTATTATAGTGACACTTGACTTTACTTTATTTTATTAATTGGGACTGGGTCTTAGTTAATGGTATCTACAGTAGTGTGGAGACGAAACGTAAAGGGACGAAACGACCTGGGACGATTTTATCCGTGCCGCACCAAAAATTGAGCGTAGTGTGAACGGGGCATTATTCTCCTAATATTTTCCCGTAAAGCTCCAAATATTTCAGTTATGTCAAGTACTTGCAAGGACGACGCTGTAAGCTGATATCATCGGCCGATAACTTCTCGTATATTTCCTACAGCTATAAACGTTTTATGGTCTTTCGTCCCCTTCATAAAAGTATTACAGTTGGTGAATTGCAATTACATATATTACTCAGCACACTCCTTTATCACGGTTTTTCAGTGACTGGTTACAATTGCAAAGTGTTTATCATCACTACCATAGCTATAAATACAAGAAATAAATTCGGAATACCTCGATAAAACCCCGTACCATAAAAGTAGTACGCCAAAACTGAGTGTAGTTAAAACGGGCCTTATATAAACATGAGCATATTTGAAAACAAATCACTATTAATACAGTTGGTGAATTGCAAAGTGTTTATCATCAAGTACCATAGTTATAAACTACATGAATAAATTCGAAATACCTCGATACAACCTCCTCATGACACAAATTAAGTGCCTCTTTTACTTGCTTTGGCACTATACCCACTTGTACGCAAGCATTGGTCTTTAAATCTTCATTTGTTTGCAAAATTTTGCCGTAATATTCTTTTACACTGTCTTTGATTTCGTTTGCCATATTCTGTCAGTATCTTCCACTCTATTATGTGATCAAATTGCAACTTTTAATTGCCTTGACAATATACAACATGAATTCCGAGAGGAGACTTTTTACAAACTCGCGTACCAATCAGATCGCACGGATCAAGGGCCCTGCTCACAGAGTTACTTTATCTTTGAATGCTGTTCTTAGGGTTTGTAATCCAAGTGAAACCAGATCAAGGAAAATGCTGCCTCACCCCCAAGAGATGAAAGGCCGCATGCGCAATTTGCTGAATAAGGGGCTGTTTATATGATCCCGCTTTGCCAGGATGAGGCAGAATAATTTCAATGTGCTGAAATAAGTCACGGTACATTATTTTCTATAGATGGATTATAGTTGACTGTAAACGAAAAATTGTTCAAGCATAATAACCTTTTTGAACCACGATATCTTCTCCACAACATCTGAGTTCTACTATAAACCAGCATTTGAACTTTCGTTTACCTAGTGTCTAATATTTCAATACATCAAAGTCATCCTGCCTTCCATCATGCAAACAGCCCCTAAGACAACTGTTCAGGAGGTAGGAAAATTTCAATTTGAATATCAAACACCTTGCACAAAGTCGAAGGGCGGCATGGACGGTTTTATAAAAATATCTTCAATCCTCATAACTTCTTGCTTTTGTATGTATAATTATAATACTGTCAGTGATGAAGCTAGCCATAGCAACAGGTTATGCTATGCAAGTTTTTAATGATTTGCATTATTCAAATAGATGCAGGTTTATCAGCATAGCATGGCCAGTTGCCATGGCTAGCTTGCCACTGAATACTGTACAACGTTTATATAAAAATACTAAGTAGGGTTTTGTTTCATGAGCAACTAGTCCCCAGGCGTCTTCTGCATAGCGCGGGAGTGCTTGGGGAGGGCGCGACGGGTTAGCAAGACGCCTGGCGGAATATTCAGATTTCCGCCTCCCACTTTTGTAAAAAGTGAGAAATGCGTAAAGGCTTGAAAATATGAAAATTTTTGAAAAAGTATCGCACCTGGGATCCCCCCATGCTCCCCCAGGAAATGTTTCTCAGAGCCCCGGAAATACAATGAAATTTGCCATCAATGTTATAGAACTTTAATATACTAAAATAAAAACAAAAATACAAATTGAGATATGGGTTAATATTATATCATACAAGCACAAACGACAACACAACTGAAATTAAGAAAGATCTGCAAAAAACGATAAAGCTCCATGAGTTATAAGTGGATTGGATGAACGTCATTGGATTGTATTTCACAGTACAACTGTCCATTAAAGTATTTCTTGCACAAGCGCATTTTGTCTTCTGTGTAAAGGAAAATAAAAAAATTATTGAAACTGTGATTGAACAGTTGAATATTTTGATATGCATATCCATGCAGTCTCAGCTACATTTTATAGTTCAACTGCAATTTCTCCCAGCGCACAACGCGTCATTTGGATGCGCAGTGGAATCTCCGCCTATATTCCCAATTTCCGCCATTTATCAGAAATTGTTAAAACTTTTTCTTATATTCAAACAATACAACCATAAGTTAAATCTAGTGTCCGTGGGTGGTTCACAGCTCTGCATGTGCTCTAATTTTGCGCATTATGTGACGCGTTCACGCATAAAGGTCCAGACACACCGGACGCGATTCGACAACGCGACGCGATTTTTTAGTTTTTGAAAGTTAATAAAATAGCCAATGAGAGGAAATTTTGAAAGATATGTAGACCAAATAACTCAAAATGTTATAGCGCTTCTAAATATTTGGAAAATGTTAACAAGGATCAAAGTTATCGGTCAGTGAAAATCGAAAAATCGCGTCCCGTTGTCGAATCGCGTCCAATGTGTATGGACCTTAAGGTAAACAATTCCAATTCTGAATATACCGAGTACTAAACATAGAATATAACTTACAGTTTGTGAAGTTCTCTAACAACAAGCTTTTGCCTTTTTACAGCAGGGTGGTTTTTCGGTGCCTGCGTTCGCCAGCTCGAAGGGGTCAGCGGAATTCGTAGATGCACAAGGAGCGGTGCAGGTTGACTCCGCATCTTTAAACTCAAGATGTTGAGAATATCTGGAATTCTTTAGGACATTGACTATGTCGCAGCTTACTGTTTGAAAATTAGACTAGAGAAAAGAAAAAGAAAATTGTTTTCACTTTTTAACCTGGTTTCCCCTTTGCTTTTGACTGGAATTTTTCCAAACTATTTTTTATCAGTCGAAAATTATTCATATTTTGAGGAGAGAAATGGTTTTCGACAACATTCTGAAAGTTTGAAGTGGGTCGGAGCACTTTTAGATTTTTTGAAAAATTTCCTGCAGTCCCTCAATATTGAATATTGATCGGCTTTTCCGTTATATATAAGTTAGTTAACTGACAAAGAGCCTTCGCATGAAACGTCCATGTTCTCCTTGAATTTTTCATTTAGTTGCATCCCTATCAATCTGGGAAGAAGTTATTTCGCTGACCTCAGAATGACATTTCGTCAAAACTTTTTTCTTCAAGATTGGTTTAGAAACAAACTTGGAGTAGGGTTAGGTTAAGGTTAGGGCAAGGTTAGGGTTAGAGTTGGTGTTTGGAATAGGGTTAGTGTTAGTGTTAGTAAAACCGTTGCTTTGTTACGTTTTGTCGCTCTGAGGCCAGCGAAATAATCTTTTCCATCAATATCTGAAGCTTTCTCATTTATATTGCCACTACGTACACTGACACAGATCCTTCAAGATAACAACTTGGCACTTACATCGAATGTATGTTGATCATCAAACTTGAAGGTTTCTGGAATTTCAATCATTGAACCTGTAGTTAGGAAAATATACATTATTGTCGTCAACAGAATTTGGGCAAAAGTGATCTCAATGGGAATAGAGTAAAATCAACGTCAAAAAGACAAAATGTAAGTACGCAGATAGCAAGAGTTCCGCATACCTACGTGGTACTTTGCTGGAAACAAAGGAGAAGTAATATATAGGCCGTAATATCTTTACTCTTTAATATTAGTGTGCCTCCGGTACAGAAGTACGCAGATTATCGCACCATGGGCATGGGAGCGATGTAATAAAATGTGTTGTTTCTATCAGTGTTGGGATTCGGCTGAGGTCGATCACTATCTGCTGCCCTACAGAACTTACTGGAAACGCACAAATGTTATTTGTAAACTAACAAACCTTTATATTTAACAGAGCAGCAGCATTTTTCGTCAGGTTTCTTGCTAGTTTTGAACAGCCGGTATGTTGCTGACACAAACTTTGAATCACCTGAAAAATGAAAATATTACATAATTCTTATTAATTAATTTAATTGCCAAGTTCCATGAAATGGCCCACGTCACACGAGTCGATTTCTCCTGCATGCAGCCAACCATGCAACCCAGTTTGGGAGACTGAGTTATGCTACAGCCTATAGTATGCAGCAGAGAAATGAAAGCATGATCCATGATTCTCTCATGTCGCCGTTTCTCTAACTAAAAGCTATCTGAACGTC